TTTCTTTATCGGAGAAGACTGAGGCAAAGAAGGCATTGAGGAGTTCAGCTCTTTCTGTGTCCCCTGTTTGCATTTCACCATCTTCTCCTCTGAGTGACCCCACTGTTTCTTTGTTCTTCCTTTTGCTACTGACATACCCATAAAAGCCTTTCTTGTTGCTTTTAACCTCCCTAGCAAGCCTGAGTTCATTCTGTGCTTTAGCTTTTCTGACTTTGTGTCTACACGTGCTGGCTATTTGTTTGAATTCCTCTTTGGTGGTTTCCCCCTTTTCCATTTTTGTACACATCCTTTTTAAATCTTAACTCAGTTAAAAGTTCTTTAGATAGCCACCCTGGCTTCTTTAGGCACCTTCCATGTTTCTGTCTCATTGGTATTGCCTGACGTTGTGCTTTTAGTATCTCCCTCTTAACAAACTCCCAGCCATCATGAACTCCCTTTCCTTTTAGTATTACTGTCCATGGGATCTCACCCAGCACTTCCCTAAGTTTTATGAAGTCAGCTTTCTTAAAGTCAAGAAATTGAGTCCTAGTATGCTTGGCTGCTCCTTTCTGTTGTATAGTAAACTTCAGAAGAGCATGATCACTCGCGCCTAATGATCCTTCCACTTCTACCCCACTAACCAGGTCATCAACATTGGTTAGGACCAGATCTAAAATGGCTGTTCCTCTTGTTGCTTCTCCCACTTTCTGGACAATGAAGTTGTCTGCAAGGCCAGTGAGGAATCTGTTTGACCTTATGCTCTTGGCTGAGTTTGACATCCAACAAATATCCGGGTAATTGAAGTCCCCATTACTACTATCTCCCTTCCTTTTGCATGCTTGGCCATCTGTTTCAGGAAGGCATCATCTATGTCCTCCGTTTGGCTTGGGGATCTATAGTAAACTCCCACAATGAGGTCACTGTTATTCTTCTCTCCCTTAATTTTGACCCAAATGCTCTCACTTTGGCTTTGAGGTTCTAAATCTTGGATCTCTTCACAGGTATACACATCCCTGACATATAACGCCACTCCTCCTCCTTTCTTGTCTGGTCTGTTTCTCTGAAATAGGTTGTATCCCCCCATTATTACATTCCAATCGTGGGACTTATCCCACCAGGCTTCAGTGATGCCTATTATGTCATATTTAGTTTGCTGTACCAAGAGCTCAAGCTCATCTTGTTTATTTCCCATGCTTTGCGCATTAGTGTACAGACAATGAAGTCCATTAATCATTCCCCCGTGTCTCTTATTTAAGGATTTTTTCCTCCCACCACTAGGTCTGTGTGCTGTTTGCTCCATTTGGTCTATGACATTTGGATGATCATCTTCATCAATTGATAGACTCCTACCTTCAGGAGCACTGTCTCCCTCCCCACATTAGTCAGTTTAAAGCCCTCCTGATGAGGTTTCTGAGATTTTTGGCAAAAACATTTCTCCCAACCTTTGTGAGGTGCAGCCCATCGCTTGCCAGAAGTCCATCTTCAAGAAACTGCAGTCCGTGATCTAAGAATCCAAACCGTTCCTGTTTACACCATTTGCGAAGCCAGCTGTTCACTTCCACTATTTTCCCCTCTCTCCCTGGGCCACGTCGTTCAACTGGGAGGACAGATGAGATCACAATTTGTGCATTTAATTGCTTCAATTTCCTGCCCAGAGCCTCGTAGTCTCTTTTGATCTTCTGGAGGCTATTGCTTGCAGTGTCATTGGTTCCCACATGAACCAAGAGGAAGGGTATTTGTCAGTGGGTTTTATGATTCCTTGCAGTCGTTCAGTTACATCTTGGATCTTAGCCCCGGGAGACAGCACACTTCCCGAGACATCTTGTCAGGCCCACAGATCACTGCTTCTGTTCCCCTCAGTAGGGAATCCCCTATCACCACTACACGCCTCCTCTTAGGTTTGGTCGGGGTTCTTCCGTGAGCTGTCCGCTCCAAGGTCGCCTGCACATTCCCTGAGGACTGACTTTGCTGCTCGTCTTCATATACCTGATCAACTGTAATGAGGGAGATCCTCAAATGGAGTCTGCTCTTCGTCTTCCATGCTAGGGGAGAGGACCTCAAAGCGATTGTGTATTTCTAAACAATCAGAGCGAACCCTGGGCCTCCTACTTCTTTGAGTCACGTTTCTCCATATATCTGGCTCCTGTGTTGGTGAACTAGCGTCCTTCTCAGGGAGTCCCCTGTCTCCTCCTTGGTGGAGACGGTGTGCTCTGTTGCTTCCAAGAAGAGCTCCAGCTCTCTAATTCTTTGGAGCGTAGCTACACGTTCCTCCAGTTGCTGGACTTTGTCTTTTAAGAGGGCAATCAACATGCAATTGCTGCAGGTAAAGCTGCCTGCAACCTTTGGCAAGATGGCAAACATTGCGCAGGAACCGCAGGCAACTGCAGCTGTTCCCTCCCCCTCCATCTTGAGAACGTGTCGTTGGGGGTGGCTACAGCGGTCCTCCATCATAAAAGCGTGAAGACAGGAAAATAACTCCCCCACAAAAACCTAGGTCTCCCCCAACAAACGTTTGAGACTAGCTCCCCTAAATCTAAAAGATGGATCAAACCCTGCCCCCTCTGACCTTTGCACAGGGAGAGCAGCCAATCAGCCACAAAGAAACACACACACACAAGAAAACCCTTTTTGCTCCTTCTTCAACTGCTGCCCTGCAAACTCTGATGGTAGATCAAACATGGTAGATCTTCATCTTGGTATTGGACGTTACATCACATTCTCCCATACCCTTTTGAAGAGGCAAGCCATTGCTGTAGCTGCATTGCCAATACGCCTGTTAAGCTCTTTGTCAGTGGAGAGGTTGCTGGTTATGGTGGAAGCCAGGTAGACAAAACTGTCACTTCAACCATATATGGAGGGCTGAAAATTCCAACCCCTTGTGATGGCCTGGGACTCAGACTCGGACTTGGAACCAGAGGAGTCTCAGTCCGCACCAGATCCTTTGCCTCAGGCGGCATCTGAACCTAGTCTGGGGACTGATTGCGAAGAGCCCCAGTCTGCACAGGTTCCCCTGCAACAAGCACCAGCTGGGCCAAGTCAGGGGCCTGAGCCTGCCCTGGCTCCAAATGTGGGGATTACCTCATTGCCTCCAGCTGGACCATCACTTACAGCTGCTCCACTACCAGTTGGGTCAGGAGAGGCCGAGGCGGCCTCTGGGTCTAGCAACCCACCAACATCTCCTGAGCTGCAGAGACTCAGGTCGGAGAGAAGGAGAGACCTGAGTACTCGCAGGAGGAGTCCTCGCCTTCAGGTGAGACAGGGAGGTGAATCGCCGGGGGATCAGGACCGGCCGCTACCCCGACAAAGATAAAAGGCTGCCGGACCCTGCCCCTGGTTGTGGGAGCAACATTGCTGTTTGCTAGAACCTGCCTGAGACCCTGTGCCTGACTTTGCCTTGTTTCCTGCCTTGTGTCCTGCCTTGGCCCTGTCGGACTGACTCCTCGCAGAACCCTTGGATTCTGGACCGGACCTGGACCGCTCTGCTCGGGTTAACCCCTGGGCCCAGCACACCCCTGATCTAATGAGAACATGGAAGGAGCCCTCCTGCCTCAAACTAAAGACCAATCTTTTCCATTTAAGGCTCCATAACTGCCTTTCCAATAACTCTGGCATCAGGATCTCCTAACGCCTCTCAGCACCCTTAATAAACTACACCTCCCAGAATTCTTTGGGGGGCAGCCATGACTGTTTAAAGTGTTCCTCACTCTTGTCTTATGCAGTGGGGGCAGAGACCACAGATTCTGACACATCACGGCGCTGATGCGATAGGCCGCAGAATCTGTGGCTGGATCCAGACACATTAAAAAAGCATTAGAGGAAAATGGGGGGAAATCACATTGCTGAAACATTTGGTGCCGCACAATCTGGTGCCGCACATTTATGACGCAATTATGACGATAGACTAGCTTGAATGCAGCTGAGTCCTGTGTCAGCTTTCGGGTTTCACAGAGCTCTTTCTCCCCTTAGAAGCAAACACAAGGGAGCTTTCACAACCCAATATTGCCACAGAAAGGAAGACCTGAAGGTCTAGCCTTTCTTCTAATGGAACGACTCATGAGCAAACTTGTCAGCAGCTAATTCTGCACCCCACAGCTTGTTAACTGTGATGATGCTTGAGAGTGCCAGTGGCATCTACACAAATTGATTTTTTTTAATATGAAGGAAGCTAGCCTTGTAACACGCGTCTGCAGCTGTGGCTCATGTCCTTTCCCATTTTGAAAAACAGCTGAGGAAACAATTTATTTACTTGATGTTATTCAGGAGTGTTTGTTTGCAGCCTGGGCATCCGAGTTGGCACACTGGTAGTTCATTAGAGCTTGGGATGAGAGTCTCTTCAGGATGTTATATTTCTGCCAGATGCCTTCACCCTCCTGACTTCTTACATATCAGGGTTCTCCTCCTCCCCTCCCTCTTCTTCTTCTTCTTCCTCTTCTTCTTGCCAGCTTGAGAAATCAGCAAAACTCTCCTCTAGTCAATTACAAATGGAAGACGATGCAGAAATGCCACCTCGAATCCTCATGTATGTTGATCAAAACCAATTGAGTTCCAGCGGGGGGAAGATTTCTCCTCCTCATCAGAACTCCATTAGCAATCTGAAAATTAAACTTGTGCCAAAGGATGGATTGGCCCTGAGGGGACGACTCGGTGAGTCTGCCAGCCTCCAGCAAACCCTCAAAACTAATGGCTCGGAACTGTCACAGGAACAGCATTGAGGGCCAAGATTAGTTGCTTTCTTCCTTGGACTCGGAGGGTCTATTAAATGACCCCTGAGTGCAGCACGTCAGGAGAACGCTACCTCTGAGTGCCTGGCGAGACATAATGGCTCAGATTCACAGAAAGTGAAATTGAAATCCATGACTATTTTGGTCTTTGGGAAAGATGATAGGCAAGAGACCTGGCATAGGGAGGGGACTGCCCCCAACAAATCTCTCTAGATTTCAGGGAGCATGTACCGGGGGGCAGGTCTCTTATGAGCTGACTTTAAGGTGGCCAGCTGCTCATCACCAAACATGAGAATTAATAGAGCTATGGCTCAGTGGTGGAGTATCTGCTTTTCATGCAGAACGTCGTTGGTTCAATCCTCAGCATCTCCAGGTAGTACTAAGAACGTCCCTGGAGAGCCTCTGCCAGTCAGTGTAGAAAACAACACTTGGCTCACTTACAGACCTTCCAAGGGTCCCTATTTTCCAGGGACGGTCCTGGATTTACAGAAGCTGCCCCAGTTTCTGATTTGATCCCAGAATGTCCTACTTTTCCTTAGGACGTCCCTGTTTTCATTGGAGAAATGTTGGAGGGGATGGAGTTATACGACCCCTGAGCCAAGGAAATTTTTTATTATTGTTGTTATTCTTATTATTGTTAGTCTGTTGTCTTTATCCATGGAGTTTTCTTGGCAGTGATACTGGAGTGGCTTGCCGGTTCCTGCTCCAGGTGGATCACGTCTGGTCAAAACTCTCCACTATGACCTGTTCATCTTCGGTGCCCTGCATGGCATAGCTCATAGCTTCTCTGAGTTATTCAAGCCCCTTCGCCACGGCAAGGCAGTGATCCATGAAGGGGAAAGACTGAAGCTGAGACTCCAATACTTTGGCCACCTCATGAGAAGAGAAGACTCCCTGGAAAAGACCCTGATGTTGGGAAAGATGGAGGGCACAAGGAGAAGGGGATGACAGAGGACGAGATGGTTGGATAGTGTTCTCAAAGCTACCAGCATGAGTTTGACCAAACTGCGGGAGGCAGTGGAAGACTGGAGTGCCTGGTGTGCTCTGGTCCATGGGGTCACGAAGAGTCGGACACGACTAAACGACTAAACAACAACGACATTATTATTATTATTATTATTATTATTATTATTATTATTATTATTATCTCTGGCTACTCTGGGCAGCTACCAACAGAAAATAAATAATAATAAAAAGCAATCAAACATTAAAAACTTCCCTAAACAGGGCTGCCTTCAGATATCTTCAGATATCTTCTAAAAGTCAGATAGTTGTTTATTTCCTTGACATCTGATGGGAGGGCACCACTACCAAGAAGGCCCCTCTGCCTGGTTCCCTATAACTTCACTTCTCACGGTGAGAAAACCGCCAGAAGGCCCTCGGAGCTGGACCTCAGTGTCTGGGCTGTATGATAGGGGTGGAGACACTCCTTCAGATAAGTAACTATACAGCCTTTAGAAGACATTTGAAAGCAGCCCTGTATAGGGAAGCTGTTTAATGTTCAATGTTTTATTATGTTTTCATATATTTTGGAAGTAGCCCAAGGTGGCTGGGGCAAGCAAGTCAGATGGGTGGGGTATAAATACAACAGCAACAACAGCAACAGCAGCAGCAGCAGCAGCAACAACAACAAGAACTGAACAGAACGCCCCTTTTTTCATCGGAGAAGTGTTAGAGAGTATGCACTTGGTACAAGGCAGAGTCCTATTTTGCATAATAGCTGCATATGCTCGTTCGTATGCAAATTTAGAAATAATAGCTATAATTTAAAGAGAAAAACTATACCCACTACATTGGGGGAGACCTTTGTGTCTGCTCAGTCTGTTGCTCAGGTGCTACTTGCTACCTTGTTATTGTTTAGTTGTTTAGTCGTGTCCGACTCTTCGTGACCCCTTCGTGACAAAGTATTGGAGCCTCAACTTCAGGATCTGTCCTTCCAGTGAGCACTCAGGGCTGATTTCCTTCAGAATGGATAGGTTTGATCTTCTTGCAGTCCATGGAACTCTCAAGAGTCTCCTCCAACACCATAATTCAAAAGCATCAATTCTTCAGCGATCAGCCTTCTTTATGGTCCAGCTCTCACTTCCATATATCACTACTGGGAAAACCATAGCTTTAACTATACGGACCTTTGTCGGCAAGGTGATGTCTCTGCTTTTTACCTATTGATGGGCAACTCCAAGGCCCACCTGCTCTCTCTTTGCAATCTCTTTTATCTTTAAGTAGGACTTGGGCTGGACAGCCCTTTCAAAAAGAGTAGCCTCACACAGGGGACTGTTCTCTGATAGCTTTTCAAGCAGAGGGCTGTCCTCTGTAAAGTCTAACATATGGTCGCCCTAGTTGGCTTTTGACAGGCAGCTGTGTACAATGAGCTGAAGACTCACAGGAGCTCATAGGGTGCAATAGGACCAGGGCCTGGCCCCGGGAACCTGAAAGAGGGAAGGGCGAATCTGGCCATATTAGTTTCTCATCTTCTTTTTTATTTTTTAAATAATTTTTTTATTAGATTTTCCACAATGATAACACAAACTACAAAGCAAAATGATACACAAAAACAGAAAAAGAAAAAAGAGGGGGGAGGGGAACAATAAACAGATAAACAATAACAACAAACTTAAACGATAACAGCAAACTTAATTCTTCACAAATCCAACCTTATAAACATCTTGGTTGACTTCCTCAAATCCCTCCCTTCTGAGTTTCCTTGTAATTAAAAGTAACTTATCTTCTTAAGTCCATTTCTCCACATTGGTTTGCCATTAAAAAACAGAACAAGTCTGAGTGAAAATTCATCAGCATTTGAGTGCAAATGCACAATTTTGCAAAGGATTTCTCTCTAGCATAGTGTGTTTTTGCACACCATTCTCACCAACATATGCCTTGACGTGCACACTTTGCCCGAGTATATGCACTTGTGTGCACATTTACTGGCTGCACAGCAGCCTTGCAAAATGCAGAGAAGTGTGTTTTTTGTGTTTCAGTTTGCACATTCTTTCAGAAAGTGTGGGTGTGGTAGGTTCCCCTTTAAACGTGAACTGAATAAATCCATCCCTGCCCCCCCCAGCCTCGATTCCTAGCCTGAACTCAAGATCTTTTTCTTCTCTTCCTCTCCTTTTAAAAACTTGCAAAGAGCAATGAAGGCAAGAGGACCGTGCCAGCAACACCTCACCATCATCATTTGCTAGAGGAGAGATTGATTCTCATATTCTCTCTTCCCTCTAATGCAGCAAAGAAAAGCTTCCGGTCGCAAGTTGTGGCAAACCTTACTTTGCTGTTTCATCTTCACCTGCAAACCAGTTTGCTCAAAAACCAGTATCCCAATGGAGGATCGAACTGGCTAATGGGTTGGTGGTTCTCTCAGCCTCAACCTACCTCAAAGGGGGTTGTTGTGAGTGTTAAGGAAGAGGGCTGGTGTGCCTTGGAGGGGAGGGTGTCTTTAGCAGAAGGAAGCTGGAGAAAAGATAATAAGTAAATATGGAATAAATTTATTTACAGGACCGCCTCTCCTGGTCTGCCCCGCACAGGACCTTAAAGTCCATGAATGATCATAGTTTAGAGGTCCCGGGCCCTAAGGAAGTCAGATTATCCTCCACCAGGGCCAGGGCTTTCTTAGTGATGGCTCCAACCTGGTGGAATACTTTGTCCCATGAGACCAGGGCCCTGCAGGATTTAACTTCCTTTCACAGGGCCTGTAAGACAGAGCTATTCTGCCTGGCTTTCAATTTGAACTTAGCCTGATCTTTTACTCCCCTTCCTTTCCTTTCCTTTCCTTTCCTTCCCTTCCCCTCCCATTTTTATGAAGATTACCCGCTCTGGGATCCCACAGCTAATTCTCCCCTGGTCTCTTCACTGACCCAAATAGGACTAATTTAGCCAGCTAGCCCTGGTGATCATCTAATGTTTATTGGATGGATTTCCCCCCTAAATTGATTTTTGAATTCTGGATTTATTGTTATTCACGTTTTATACTGTATTTTATGCTGTTTTTGTTGTTGCATCAATTAAGTGTTTTAAATTTGTTGTTAGCTGCCCTGAGCCCGGTTTTCTGAGCCGGGAAGGGTGGGGTATAAATAAAAAATATTATTATTATTAAGAAAGGCATTGTTATAACTCCAAGAAGGCAATATAAAACCTTGGATTTTCAGAGTGATTGGACTTCCTTGCATTTGAGCCCTCGGACGGTCTGCCTTTTTGCTACCTCATTAAACCCCTCTTGTTAGCAGAACACTCTAAGCTTCTTTTGATGGATCTCCAATGCATCTGCGTGTTCACCGATAGCCGGGTCTGCTACTGGCCTTACTCGGGATTTATCTAAGACATTTCTCCCCAACCTGGTGCCCTCCAGATATTTTTGGACAACCACTCCCCAGCCAGCACATCTAAGGACACACAAGGAGCCCAGGGAGGCAGACACGCAACTTGAAAACAAAAACCAAGCAAAAGCATTCTGAAACACAATTACAATTAAAAACATTCTAAAAGCAATTATGAGTAAAAACATCGTTCCACCAGTTCTCTTGAGGGTGCCAGAAGAAGTACGTCATACCCTCCAACATTTCTCCAATGGAAATAGGGACATTCTAAGGAAAAACAGGACATTCTGGGATCAGATTGGAAACTGGGACAGCTTCTGTAAATACAGGACTGTCCCTAGGAAAAAGGAGGGTGGTTCACTAAAAACTTGTTTGTTTGTTTTTTAAAAAAATGCCTGCTCCAAAGGTCTTATCTTACTACACTAGGGATTATGTAGCTATATCTGAAATTTCATGCACATCAGTTAATATCTTGACCCTCCTCCACGAAAATAGCTGTTTACTTGGCCGTTTTCCTATGTCGTGAAGGCTGAAATTTCAATTCAGTGGAGCAGGGTCAAGATATTAACTGATATGCATGAAATTTCAGATATAGCTATATAATCCCTAGTGTAGTAAGATAAGACCTTTGGAGCAGGCATTTTTTTTAAAAAAAAAGTTTTTTTATGAACCGCCCTAACGCTTGGAGGGTCTGATCAGCCATATTTTCAAATTCCTCCTGAAAGTTAATAATGATTGAGAACCGCACATCTCACTAGTGATGGCATTCCACAACAAGGGAGCCATCATTGAAAAGGCCCTGTCATGGGTAATCACCAACCAGGCACCACCAACAAGGCCTAGATTTTATTTTAAAAAATGTAAAGACCACTTAATCAGAAAAGTCTCTAAGCAGTATGCACAATAAAGAGATAGAAAGACACCCCCCCCCCAAGTGGTCTCAAAAATACCTTCTATTTTTTTTTAATGATATTTATTAGGGTTTCCAATAAAAAGAACACATCAATTAACAAAAAATTAAAAAGAAAAAAGAAAAACACACAATTCAAAAATACACAATACATAATCCAAAAAAAGAAAAGAAAAGAAAAGACAGAAAAGAAAACAGTTAAAAACAATACCACCTTTTCATCACCACTTTTAAGTTTACTTATTTTCTGGACCTCCTCATACCTCCCTCTATTGTATTCCAGTTCAATTTGTTTGTCCAGCAATTTCTTTCCCTCTTTTTTAATCCCAATCCTTAATCTTAATATAATATAACATTAAATTTTTACTTCTTAAAAGCCAAATTTCCATTTCCTTTAACTTTTTTAATCCTAATCCTTAATCTTAATCTATATATAACTTTAAAATCTGTATAGCTAGATCAAAAATACCTTCTAAGGAGTCAGGACATAGACATAGTTTTAAAATACCATTTTAAGGTTTTGGCTTTCTAGATCATTCATTTCATTGACTTGTTAAGTGGGATTTTAAAAGGTTTTGTTTTTAAAAGGAGAGAGAAAGGAACACAGCCTTCAAGTATCTACCAAATGTTGACATTTTAATTTAATCAGTTTTAATTGTTATTCCTTTTAAATGTCAGCTGGATGCATTATCTGGAGCTTGTTAAAATGACTTCATGAGCACTTGTCTTCAACAAGGATTCAATGGCACTTTGCTGGCTGGGCTTCTCCCATAGATTTCCTGGAACCGAGAAGCGCAAAAAAGCAGAGACAGAGAGAGAGAGAGAGAGAGAGAGAGAGAGAGAGAGAGAGCATATCATGCATTTATTTTTATTTATTTACTTCTTTGACCACCCATTTCAAAGTAATAGCCATGACAAGGTTGGCTCGGTGGAAATAATCTAAAATAAGAGCCGGAACAATGCTGACGAATCCAAAAATATGCTGTGTCGGCATTGAAAGAATGGCCTCCCGGTGGAGTTTGTAACTGTCTCTCTGCTGTGGTTTTGCCATTCGGCATGCGGTTCAATCTAACTGCCCATAGTGCTATTAAACTATGGAACTCACTGCCACTGGAGGCAGTATTAGCCACCAACTTATATGGCTTTGAAAGAAAATCAGTCAGATTCATGGAGGAGGTAAAGGTAAAGGTAAAGGTAAAGGACCCCTGAACGGTTAAGTCCATTCAAAGGCAATAATGGGGTTGTGGTGCTCATCTCGCTTTCAGGCCGAGGGAGCTGGCATTTGTCAACAGACAGCTTTCCAGGTCATGTGGCCAGCATGACTAAAACACTACTGGCACAACGGAACACCATGATGGAAACCAGAGCGCATGGAAACGCCGTTTACCTTCCCGCCACAGTGGTACCTATTTATCTACTCGCACTGGTGTGCTTTCGAACTGCTAGGTAGGCAGGAGCTGGGACAGAGCAACGGGAGCTCACCCTGTTGTGCAGATTTGAACTGCCGACCTTCTGATCAGGAAGCCCAAGAGGCTCAGTGGTTTAGATCACAGCACCACCATCATCCCTATTGGTGACTACTAGCCATTGTCAGGAGTTCAGTGAAGATCTTACTTGGAAAATAAATACAACCCAGGTGGTTAAGAAAGCCCAACAGAGACTCCATCTCCTCAGAGTATTGCGGAAGAAGGATGTCAATCAACATCTGATGGTCTCCTTCTACCGGTCAACAATAGAAAGTGTCCTTTCATACTGCATCACGGTGTGGTACACTGGTTTGACATCAACTGATAGGAAGTGCCTACAGAGCGTGGTGAATACAGCAAAAACAGACAGACCTCAGCATAACATTCAAAACGGAAGTGTGGCACTCAAATCAGTAGCAGAACACTCAAAATGGAGTACATTTGACTTCCAAAAAAAGTTCGCAAACCGGAACACTTCCTTCCAGGTTTGCAGTGTTTGGGTTCCAAGTTGTTTGAGTACCAAAGCATTTGAGAACCAAGGTACGACTGTAAGAGGAAATGGATCACTAACACACACACACACACGTGCGCGAGATGACATTGATTTGCATAAAATCTGCTTATTCTAATTTCTACTATGTAGCAATCGTTGCTATATTACTATATAACCCACCCTGACACCCCTCTGTAGTGTTCTCAGTTCAAGCCCTCTTGTCAGAAGGAATTGGTGACAGTTTATTTTGGAAATCCTATGAATTTTCATTGCCCCCAAAAGGGGGGGGGGCACACAGAGAGAGACCCAAGTCCCATAGATGCCTCAAGTCCCACTGCTATTCTTTTGAAAGTGTTTAAAATTAGCCGGCTGATCAAAATTATTCAACAAGCGGGAGTAAGATCAAACGAGGCCTGTCAATCAGCATGAGGGGAGGCTTGTGGCTGATTGGAAAATAATCCTTTATGGTCCCTGAACAAGAAAATAAAAACCTCTGGAGGCAGATGTTTTCTAGAACAAAGGAGTGGGACTTTGGGCCTGTGCCCTCTCTGTCTGGCCCTCCAATTTGCCCCAGGTCACAGCCCTCACCAGCCCTGCTTCGCACACTCATCGAGTTATTTTTCTTGGCTGGAATACTTCCCTCTGCAGTTTAAGAAGGATATTGGCAAGCTGGAAGGTACACAGAGGAGGGCAACCAAGATGATCAAGGGTCTGGAAGCCAAGTCTTACGAGGAGCACTTGAGGGAGCTGGGTATGGTTAGCCTGGAAAAGGGAAGACTAAGAGGAGATATGATATCCATCTTCAAATATCTTAAGGGCTGTCACATGGAAGAGGGAACAAGCTTGTTTTCTCTTGCTCTGCAGCAGGCATAGGCAAACTTGGCCCTCCAGATGTTTTGGGACTACAATTCCCATCATCCCTGGCCACTGGTCCTGTTAGCCAGGGATCATGGGAGTTGTAGTCCAAAACATCTGGAGGGCTGAGTTTGCCTATGCCTGCTCTGGAGGGTAGGACTCGAACCCATGGCTTCAATTTACAAGAAAGGAGATTCCGACTAAACATTAGGAGGAACTTTCTGACAGAGCTGTTTGACAGTGGAACAGATTCTCTCAAGAGCTGCATGCTGACTGGCAAATTGGAGATGAAAGCAGACAGAATTAAAGAGGTGAGTGACATTGTTATCAGATTATTTTATTTGGGAGGTTTATACAGTGGTACCTCGGGTTACATACGCTTCAGGTTACAGACTCGGCTAACCCAGAAATAGTACCTCGGGTTAAGAACTTTGCTTCAGGATGAGAACAGAAATCGTGCTCCGGCAGCGCAGCAGCAGCAGAAGGCCCCATTAGCTAAAGTGGTCTTCAGGTTAAGAACAATTTCAGGTTAAGAACGGAGCTCCAGAACGAATTAAGTACTTAACTCGAGGTACCACTGTGTGTGTGTGTGTGTGTGTGTGTGTGTGTGTGTGTGTGTGTGAGAGAGAGAGAGAGAGAGAGAGAGAGAGAGAGAGAGTAAAGGACTGATACAAAAACCCTGCAAAAAAACTATGCAATAGAATGAAAGATCATTATTCCTCCCCTTGCATCACTCTCCCCTCCTCTTTGTCTCCTCTCTCTTTCCCCCCAACCACACAATGCATATGACAACAGTGTCTCATACTGAATGTAAATGAAGCGTAAGTGCACTCTTGACAATAAAGTGTTAATTCCTCACTCAGGACATTCTTTGCCTGACAGTGCCATTGAAGGCTCCTAGTCATGGGGCCTCAGCAGCAAGAATACTCATTGCAAAGTATTGGAAGACACAAGATCTACCCACTCTGGAAGAATGGCAGATGAAGGTGATGGACTATATGGAACTGGCGGAAATGACTGGCAGAATCCGAGACCAGGGAGAAGAGTCGGTGGAAGAAGATTGGAAGAAATTTAAAGACTATCTACAGAAATATTGTAAAATTAATGAATGTTAGAATGATGTTGGATAGAAATTAAGTGGTTTTCAGCTGTAATACTATAAGGGAATATGAAAAATGGATTATTAATAGGTAAAAATTTAACGTTACAATATTTTAAGATTAAAGACTAGGATAAACAAAGAGGGTAAGGATTTGCTGAACCAACAAACTGAACTGGAATACAAAAAAGGGAGACGTGAGGAGGTCCGGGAAACAAGCTAATGAAAAATAAGTAATGGAAAGATTGAGTTGTTTTTAACCATTTTTATTTTGTATTTTTTTCTTTTTTCTTTTCTTTTTTGTAACATTTTGAAAATCTCAATAAATATCTTATAAAAAAAAAAGAACTTTGCTTCAGGATGAGAACAGAAATCGTGCTCCGGCGGCATGGCAGCAGCAGGAGGCCCCATTAGCTAAAGTGGTGTTTCAGGTTAAGAACAGTTTCAGGTTAAGAACGGACCTCCGGAATGAATTAAGTACTTAACCCAAGGTACCACTGTATTGCAAAATAATAATAGTAAGAATATTGTAAAGAGTTGTGCAAATTATGGCTGTAGTCCTGTAAGCACATGAGAGTCAGTCCCCTTTGAATAGGATTCTCCTGCAAAAGTGCAGAAGCAAATTTATGAAGCAATGCTTCTGTAGCAACCTTCTCCAACCTGATGCCCTACAGATGTTCTGGACTACAACTCCCATCATCCTTGACAACTGGCCAGGCTGGATGGGGTTGATGGGATTTGTAGGTCCAAACATCCAAATGGCACCCCATTGGGGAAGCCTGTTCTGAAGCTTCATAGCAGGCTGCTCCAGCGATCAGGAATACAGATGTCCATTTCTTCTATATGCAAAGAGTGCTGCTCATTATAACTTTTCAGTCCCTGAGCCTATTTTTGCAGCAGAGGAATATTATATAAGCAGTCTTGGCATCACCTTTTCTCTCAAAACACAGAGCAGTTTCCAGATGGTAGTCATGAGATGCAGCCAGGCATGTCACATTACGAATCAGCAGAGGCAACTTTCAGGTACTCCGGAGCCTGAGTAGACAGAGAGACATTTTTCTCTCTCCTTTCCTAACAATACAACCTGAGGTCATCTACTGAAATTGATGGGCAGGAGATTCAAGACAGGCTCTTCTTTTCTTTTCTTTTTCTGAAGCACACTTAACCGATGGAATTCTCTGCCACACAGATGCTAACAAGCAGTTTTGAATTCCACACAAGAGGGTTTCACAATAGGCATCCAGAAAATATTTTCAGAAAATATGAGGTATTTGACAATGGAACAAGCTTCCTTGGAAGGAGGCGAACTCTCATTTGCTGGAAATCTTTGAGCATCGTCTGTGTAGCCACCTATGCAGAAGTGAATTTATCAGTTTGGCAGGGTTTGGGATTAGATTACCTTTGAGATGCAGGAAGATTCAGACCAAATAAAAGAAAATCCTTCTTCCCCCAGAACACATTTCAGCTTAACATTCCCTTTTTTTATTTTAAAAGGAAAATAGTAGGAGTGTGCACATGGCCATAGATTTGTCTTATATGTGTATCTGTTGTTGTTCTTAATGGCATGTTCTGAGTCACTCAGTGCTCTCTCTTTGTGTCAATCTATTTTTTGTGTGTGTTGCAAGCGACTCTCCTTAGAACAAAGCTCTGTGTTTCTCATTCACTATCAGATTATCTAAAAAGAGCTATAACTTTTTTTTCCACCTTTGGACAAAGTGGATGAAATTTGCAGGTGTAAGAGCCACTCCAGTGTGGATTAAGCCTGTCAGATTGCAGACATAAGAGATCCAGGGGCTTTTTGTGAGGAAAGCAAAAGTACAGTGGTACCTCGGGTTACATACACTTCAGGTTACATACGCTTCAGGTTACACACTCCGCTAACCCAGAAATAGTTCTTCAGGTTAAGAACTTAGCTTCAGGATAAGAACAGAAATTGGGCTCTGGCGGTGCGGCGGCAGCAGGAGGCCCCATTAGCTAAAGTGGTGCTTCAGGTTAAGAACAGTTTCAGGTTAAGTACAGACCTCCAGAACGAATTAAGTACTTAACCCGAGGTACCACTGTATTCAGTTTCCTCTATCATCCATATTAGGCCCATATTTTTATCAGGCTAACTGAACATCCAAAATCTATATTAGCATCTTTTTCAAGGGCAGGAGGGGTTTCTCTCTTGCTCTTTCTTAGTTTCAGATAATTAAGAGTGGGACAAATTGTGTGTATTCTTCCTTGTACATTTTTAAAAACTTGACAGCTTCACAGTGATCTTATCTTTCAGGCCTTTAATAGGCTTTACAACATGATGTTGTCCGGAACACTGCCTGACAAGTTCTGAAGAGCTCTAGCTTGCTCACTCTTTTTTGTTACAGCTGAGTAATGTGGAATTAAAAACAACAACCCTAAGATTTTAATTTATTTATTTTTTAAATGTTATCTGCTACTGTTTTAACAAAAAATAAAGCAGAGTGCTTCTGTGCTCTTCAGGCACCATTTTGCAAAACTCATTGACCTAGAGCAGGCATGTCCAACAGGTAGATCGTGATCTACCTGTACCGGTAGATCACTGGACATCTGCGGTAGATCACTGGTAGATCATTGGCTCCCCCCAAAGAAGCTGAACAACTGTGGCTCCCCTAAAAAAAGGTCAACATTTTACCTCCTCCCTGAAAAAAATGCAACAACTTGGACCCAACACCCCCCCAAATGGGCCTTCCTCCTTCCTAAAAAAAGGACCTAGACCTGACCTAGAGAAACAGGACCCTGACCTAAAGAAACACGCAGGAAATCATAGAGCTGTAAATTCAGAAATGCAGAGAAACCTCAGAGTGACACAATGCTTTGTGGGAGCCCTAATCTGATCCAGAGGCATAGCTGTCAACCGTCCCTTATTTGGCAGGAAACTCCCTTATCCCAGCGCCGTGTCCCGCTGCTGTCCCTTATTGATGATGTCCCTTAAATTTCCCGGGTTTCATGGTCGCCTAGCTCAGGAGGGAAGCAGCGGCTCGGGGTCCTTCGCCTTGAGAGAGAGCATGCGCACGAGCTGCCGCGTCTACGTCTCTCCCTTTTCCCCCCTCAGGGGCGCGTCGTGAGAAGACGGGTGGCGGCGGGTGGGCAGGCAGCCCCTCTCTTGCGAGACTTCCACCACGCTGCCTGGGGAAGCCGGAGGCAGCGGCGGCTGCGGCTGAGGAGGCGCCTGAGGGAGGAGGAAGAGGAGGGGATGGGGAGGGACACAGAAGGGCGGCGCTTCAGCGGCCACTGCGGCGCCGCAACCTCCTCGTGCCGGGCTTGCGGGCGGCGTGGGCGAGAGTCTCTCTCCCTCCCTTTCGGGCGGGAAAGGGCCGATGGAACTCATAAGCTAAGCAAAATCCCTTCTTTTGGCTGCTCATCCCTTATTTCCGAGGCTGCGGGTCCCTTATTTTCAAATCTGTAAGTTGACAGCTATGTCCAGAGGGAAGGGGGTTATTGACACCCCACTTTGCCTCTGGGGTGTGGGAAAGACCCTTGAAACACCCCAATTTCCCTCAGCATTGCGCTCTCTACAAAGACCTGAGAAACGAGATCATCACCCCACTTGTACTAACCATCCCAGGGCGCTCAACCGCTGCCACAATGTCCTTTCTTCTATCAGATCAAAATGAGCAGATAACAGCAAAGGTTGCTAGGTTCATAGCAGAGGCAATCAGAATATGGGCCACTAACTGACTGCTGATTCAGGACTTTAAATTGTGCTCTTATATCAAATTTCCCTTTCTGCGTATACTGTAATGTTTTATTGTTGCTATGGCCATTGGCTAATGCGAATAAAGTTTTATCTATCTATCTATCTATCCCTCAGCATTTGGTCCTCAGAGCTCCTGCACGCTGTAAAAAAAAGATGTTGCAATAGCTAGGACACATGAAGAATACATCATTGCACCCAAGAATTAAACAAAGATGATGGTGTTCAAGTGTGTGTGTGTGTGTGTGTGTGTGTGTGTGTGTGTGTGTAAGTGAGGAATTCTAACCTCCTATGTTGTATTCTGCTGAAATAAAAAAATTTAAGGTCTTATATATATAATAAATGTTCATAAATGTACCAGCCAAGCACGTACATAGATATGTGGACCACATGCCTGAAGCAGCACAGGAAGACCGTCCTGAAACCATTTTGACTCCCAAACTGACCAAATGTTTTCTCTGCAAGGAGGGAGGGGGTGGGGGAACCTTCCCATTGTCTCAGGAATTGGGTAATCACCTTCTCAAAGGAATGGCCAGACTACCAGGAAAGGCAATCAGATAAGGCATTATCAGGTAACCTGGCAGACAGAAAAACAACAACATTCAAATTTCTGTTGTAGACCACATTTTCTGTGATGTAGGTATGAAGTTTGTGGGGGGGTGATCTTGGGTTACGCCCCTTCTGTGGTGTATGTATGATGTATGGAGGGGTGGTCTTGAGCTCCAGGACAGGGAATTTAAAATGTCCATATAAGGGCAGGCACGCCTTTGTTCTGGGTCCTCCTCCTTTCCTGCGTGTGAAGGGGAGCAGCCTGTTGCAACAGTTCAATAAAGATCAGGCTTACTAGCTGCTTTGCTTCTCAATATTCTCTGGCTGGCCTCTGTTCTTTTCTCCTACCGATGGAGAACCTACAAAGAACTCTATAAGGGCTCTTGTGTCCCCCATAAGGGAATAAGGGCAGATTTTGTTTACTACACTGCAAAGAGAGGTGCATCACACACTAGTCAAACCCACCAGAACCTCTTTTCGCTGAATTTGCAAAAATTCACAGCATTCAGTGTTTAATCAGCTTGCATTTTCCTAGTGCTGTCGGCCTGTGTCAGAATTTGCTGATCTCTGGAGTTTCTAGGGACCTTTTCATATTCAATGAAATTCCTATCTGGAAGAGCACGATGAGCACAGCAGCTGCCCTAAATAAAGGAGCAATCTTCCCAGGAGATAGCAACGTGGCTTTGGGTAGCGCTTCCTACCAGACTGAATTTTTTCAGTTTATCGGAGAGTTGAGGACATTGAACAGTTTGCAACTGATTTGCAGGATACATCGGGCAAGATTCTTGTAGCACAGGGGCATGGCGCATATTTGCATAACATTTGCATATGCAGATTTTCTATTTAGAGAAGCACAATCTGCTGTTGGGGTTTATTGTGAGATACGGGGAACACTGTGCTCACAGACTTTGCCTTTATGTAGTGGAAGATTTTGCCATGCCCTGTCTAGCTGTGTGTGTGTGTGTGTGTGTGTGTGTGTGTGTGTTCTCCCCCCCCATCACAGAACAACAAAACAGTATTAAAACCAAACCCCACACTTCCACCCTTTCTGAGGTTGAATTACATCAGAACTTGCATCCCGTAAATTGTTGCATTTCCAGTTGTGCAGCAGTTAATTATCACACCAATCCATTGAAAATGTGTACAGTAGCCAGTATCTTGTTGTTTGTACAATACAATTTTAGATATTCTTTAAATATTTTCTGTTCTCCGTATATTTTCTGGTTTGACTCTCCTCTGATTCTTCCCGTTAATTTTGCTAATTGCAAGTATTCTATCATAAGTGTCTGCCAATCTGTAATTGTTGGTAAGATTTCATTTTTCCAGTTTCTTGCCACTATTATTTTATTTGTAAATAAAAAGTGTATAAGATACCATACTGGATTATATGTATACATACAAAAAGAAACAACATAAGCAGTATAATGAGAATTATTGGAAGCTTTATATTTTAATCTGTTATTTTATATTGTATTTTGTATTTTGCTCTTCTTTTTTCATTTCTCTCTCATTTCTTTCTACCTCATTGTCCTTTTGTATTTGTATGATTGTATATGTATGATCTTTGTTCTGTATTGATGTGTATATGCTTTTGTGTGAAACTAATAAAGATTTTTTTTTTTAATGAAAGAAAGAAAATGTGTACAGTAGCACCTCGGCTTATGTAACCCTCTGGTTACGTAAACTTCACATTATGAATGTGGCAAACCCAGAAATATCAGACCGGATTTCACCGCGTGTGGATGCGCAGATCCTCGGGTTGTGGAAATCTCCGCATCGGGCCAGACCTTTGGAACAGATCCCGTTCGCAACCGGAGGTACCACTGCATTTTTGTTTCATCCCCCATAATGAAATGATTTTAGAATGTTGTACTATTTTATTGTTGTTAGCCGCCCTGAGCCCAGCTTTGGCTGGGGAGGGCAGGATATAAATAAAATTTATTATTATTATTATTATTATTATTATTATTAAGAGTCTCCTCCAGCACCATAATTCAAAACATGGATCCTTCATGGATCACTGCCTTGTCATGGCGAAGGGGCTTGAATTAGAATCATAGAATCATAGAATCATAGAATCATAGAGTTGGAAGAGACCACAAGGGCCATCGAGTCCAACCTCCTGCCAAGCAGGAAACACCATCAGAGCACTCCTGACATATGGTTGTCAAGCCTCTGCTTAAAGACCTCCAAAGAAGGAGACTCCACCACACTCCTTGGCAGCAAATTCCACTGTCGAACAGCTCTTACTGTCAGGAAGTTCTTCCTAATGTTTAGGTGGAATCTTCTTTCTTGTAGTTTGGATCCATTGCTCCGTGTCCGCTTCTCTGGAGCAGCAGAAAACAACCTTTCTCCCTCCTCTATGTGACATCCTTTTATATATTTGAACATGGCTATCATATCACCCCTTAACCTCCTCTTCTCCAGGCTAAACATGCCCAGCTCTCTTAGCCGTTCCTCATAAGGCATCGTTTCCAGGCCTTTGACCATTTTGGTTGCCCTCCTCTGGACACGTTCCAGTTTGTCAATGTCCTTCTTGAACTGTGGTGCCCAGAACTGGACACAGTACTCCAGGTGAGGTCTGACCAGAGCAGAATACAGTGGCACTATTACTTCCCTTGATCTAGATGCTATACTCCTATTGATGCAGCCCAGAATTGCATTGGCTTTTTAGCTGCCGTCACACTGTTGGCTCATGTCAAGTTTGTGGTCAACCAAGACTCCTAGATCCTTTTCACATGTACTGCTCTCAAGCCAGGTGTCCCCCATCTTGTATTTGTGCCTCCATTTTTTTTGCCCAAGTGCAATACTTTACATTTCTCCCTGTTAAAATTCATCTTGTTTGTTTTGGCCCAGTTCTCTAATCTGTCAAGGTCGTTTTGAAGTGTGATCCTGTCCTCTGGGGTGTTAGCCACCCCTCCCAATTTGGTGTCATCTGCAAATTTGATCAGGATGCCCTTGAGTCCATCATCCAAGTCGTTGATAAAGATGTTGAATAAGACCGGGCCCAAGACAGAACCCTGTGGCACCCCACTAGTCACTCTTCTCCAGGATGAAGAGGAACCATTGATGAGCACCCTTTGGGTTCGGTCAGTCAGCCAGTTACAAATCCACTGAGTGGTAGCATAGTCAAGACCACATTTTACCAGCTTCTTTACAAGAATATCATGAGGCACCTTGTCAAATGCCTTGCTGAAATCAAGGTAGGCTACATCCACTGCGTTCCCTTCATCCACCAGGCTTGTAATTCTGTCAAAAACGAGATCAGGTTAGTCTGACATGACTTATTTTTCAGAAATCCATGCTGACTATTGGTGATCACAGCATTCCTTTCTAGGTGCTCACAGACTGTTTGCTTAATGATCTGCTCCAGAATCTTCCCTGGTATTGATGTCAGACTGACTGGGCGGTAATTATTTGGGTCCTCTCTTTTCCCTTTTTGAAAATAGGGACAACATTTGCCCTCCTCCAGTCTGCCGGGACTTCGCCTGTTCTCCAGGAATTCTCAAAGATGACTGCCAGTGGTTCTGAGATCACATCTGCCAGTTCTTTTAATACTCTTGGATGCAGTTCATCTGGCCCTGGAGACTTGAATACATCTAAACTAGCCAAGTATTCTTGTACTATCTCCTTAGTTATTCTGGGCTGTGTTTCCTTTGCTGAATCATTTGCTCCAAATTCTTCAGGTCGGGCATTGTTTTCTTTATCGGAGAAGATTGAGGCAAAGAAGGCATTGAGGAGTTCAGCTCTTTCTGTGTCCCCTGTTTGCATTTCACCATCTTCTCCTCTGAGTGACCCCACTGTTTCTTTGTTCTTCCTTTTGCTACGGACATACCCATAAAAGCCTTTTTTGTTGCTTTTAACCTCTCTAGCAAGCCTGAGTTCATTCTGTGCTTTAGCTTTTCTGACTTTGTGTCTACACGTGCTGGCTATTTGTTTGAATTCCTCTTTGGTGGATTCCCCTTTTCCATTTTTGTACACATCCTTTTTAAGCTTAACTCAGTTAAAAGTTCTTTAGATAGCCACCCTGGCTTCTTTAGGCACCTTCCATGTTTCCGTCTCATTGGTATTGCCTGACGTTGTGCTTTTAGTATCTCCCTCTTAACAAACTCCCAGCCATCATGAACTCCCTTTCCTTTTAGTATTACTGTCCATGGGATCTCACCCAGCACTTCCCTAAGTTTTATGAAGTCAGCTTTCTTAAAGTCAAGAAATTGAGTCCTAGTATGCTTGGCTGCTCCTTTCCGCTGTATAGTAAACTTCAGAAGAGCATGATCACTTGCGCCTAATGATCCTTCCACTTCTACCCCACTAACCAGGTCATCAACATTGGTTAGGACCAGATCTAAAATGGCTGTTCCTCTTGTTGCTTCTCCCACTTTCTGGACAATGAAGTTGTCTGCAAGGCCAGTGAGGAATCTGTTTGACCTTATGCTCTTGGCTGAGTTTGACATCCAACAAATATCCGGGTAATTGAAGTCCCCATTACTACTATCTCCCTTCCTTTTGCATGCTTGGCCATCTGTTCCAGGAAGGCATCATCTATGTCCTCCGTTTGGCTTGGGGATCTATAGTAAACTCCCACAATGAGGTCACTGTTATTCTTCTCTCCCTTAATTTTGACCCAAATGCTCTCACTTTGGCTTTGAGGTTCTAAATCTTGGATCTCTTCACAGGTATACACATCCCTGACATATAACGCCACTCCTCCTCCTTTCTTGTCTGGTCTGTTTCTCTGAAATAGATTGTATCCCCCATTATTACATTCCAATCGTGGGACTTATCCCACCAGGTTTCAGTGATGCCTATTATGTCATATTTAGTTTGCTGTACCAAGAGCTCAAGCTCATCTTGTTTATTTCCCATGCTTTGCGCATTAGTGTACAGACACTGAAGTCCATTAATCATTTCCCCGTGACTCTTATTTAAGGATTTTTTCCTCCCACCACTAGGTCTGTGTGCTGTTTGCTCCATTTGGTCTATGACATTTGGATGATCATCTTCATCAATTGATAGACTCCTACCTTCAGGAGCACTATCTCCCTCCCCACATTAGTCAGTTTAAAGCCCTCCTGATGAGGTTTCTGAGATTTTTGGCAAAAACATTTCTCCCAACCGTTGTGAGGTGCAGCCCATCGCTTGCCAGAAGTCCATCTTCAAGAAACTGCAGTCCGTGATCTAAGAATCCAAACCGTTCCTGTTTACACCATTTGCGAAGCCAGCTGTTCACTTCCACTATTTTCCCTCTCTCCCTGGGCCACGCTGCTCAACTGGGAGGACAGATGAGATCACAATTTGTGCATTTAATTGCTTCAATTTCCTGCCCAGAGCCTCGTAGTCTCTTTTGATCTTCTGGAGGCTATTGCTTGCAGTGTCATTGGTTCCCACATGAACCAAGAGGAAGGGGTATTTGTCAGTGGGTTTTATGATTCCTTGCAGTCGTTCAGTTACATCTTGGATCTTAGCCCCGGGAGACAGCACACTTCCCGAGACATCTTGTCAGGCCCACAGATCACTGCTTCTGTTCCCTCAGTAGGGAATCCCCTATCACCACTACACGCCTCCTCTTAGGTTTGGCCGGGGTTCTTCCATGAGCTGTCCGCTCCAAGGTCGCCTGCACATTCCCTGAGGACTGACTTTGCTGCTCGTCTTCATATACCTGATCGACTGTAATGAGGGAGAGATCCTCAAATGGAGTCTGCTCTTCGTCTTCCATGCTAGGGAGAGGACCTCAAAGCGATTGTGTATTTCTAAACAATCAGAGCGAACCCTGGGCCTCCTACTTCTTTGAGTCACGTTTCTCCATATATCTGGCTCCTGTGTTGGTGAACTAGCGTCCTTCTCAGGGGAGTCCCCTGTCTCCTCCTTGGTGGAGACGGTGTGCTCTGTTGCTTCCAAGAAGAGCTCCAGCTCTCTAATTCTTTGGAGCGTAGCTACACGTTCCTCCAGTTGCTGGACTTTGTCTTTTAAGAGGGCAATCAACATGCAATTGCTGCAGGTAAAGCTGCCTGCAACCTTTGGCAAGATGGCAAGCATTGCGCAGGAACCGCAGGCGACTGCAGCTGTTCCCTCCTCCATCTTGAGAACGTGTCGTTGGGGGTGGCTACAGTGGTCCTCCATCATAAAAAGCGTGAAGACAGGAAAAATAACTCCCCCCACAAAAAAACCTAGGTCTTCCCCAACAAACGTTTGAGACTAGCTCCCTAAATCTAAAAGATGGATCAAACTGCGCGCGCCGCTAGGCCGCGCCGCTGCCCTGCAATCTCTGATAAGCTCCTCCCACAGCTAATCACCTGCCTCAACAGAAACCCTGCCCCTCTGACCTTTGCACAGGGAGAGCAGCCAATCAGCCACAAAGAAACACACACACACAAGAAAACCCTTTTGCTCCTTCTTCAACTGCTGCCCTGCAATCTCTGATAAGCTCCTCCCACAGCTAATCACCTGCCTCAACAGAAACCCTGCCCCCTCTGACCTTTGCACAGGGAGAGCAGCCAATCAGCCACAAAGAAACACACACACACAAGAAAACCCTTTTTGCTCCTTCTTCAACTGCTGCCCTGCAATCTCTGATGAGATTACTCAGAGAAGCTATGAGCTATGCCTTGCAGGGCCACCCAAGAGGGACAGGTCATAGTGGAGAGTTTTGACCAAACGTGATCCACCTGGAGCAGGAACCTGCAAGCCACTTCAGTATCCCTGCCAAGAAAACTCCATGGACAAACCCTGCTAGTGGGTTCATTTCTATACACTGATTCCGTAGATATAACATAAATGGTTCCCAATCTTCTTTAAAATCTCAATTGTCTTTATCTCTGAGTCTTTCAGTTAGTTTTGCCATTTCAGCATATTCCATCAGTTTAAGTAAAGACAACTCTGGGCCTTTGACTATGTTTTGTCCTATTATCTCTCTGATTTCTTTGAATGCATCCTCCCAGAATCTGAGCACAATAGCACTCTCCCCTCCTGGGGTTTCCAGTTACTGGTATTCGGAGGCATTGCTGAGTTGGAATATTCTAGAAGGAACTTGAAAATGGTCTTGAACAAGTTGCTAAGCAACGGAAAATTTCCCCAGCAACAGGTGTCCTTATAGGGCATGTGATCAACTAAGGCAGTGTAAATGAGTATGTGAATGCGTCAGTGTTAGGTCTCTGTCAGGATGGCTAAAAGAGAAAAAAGATGATGTTGCTTCATTTGTTTTTATTCATTTATCAATGTAAAGTTTTGTAAACATTAAAGACTCTGAGAAACAGAACCAAATGGTGTTTATTCCTGTAGTGGGAATTTCACTAAGAAATAGCTGGAATGCTGCTGCTGTAAAGAGGTAAAAAGATGCAGGAAAGATTTTCTGTAAAAGGAACTCTACCTTATTTCTATGTTTGAAGCACCTATCACTGCATATTTGCAGGATATTGACTGTTGAAACCTACTACAATTCCTATTGGTTAAGAAATTGCAGTTTACAGGCTTCCTGATCCGCCTACATCATGTTTGCTCCTAAACATGTAAAACAGGTACCCTCAACAACAGCATCTATCCCATGTCCATTCAAATTAGCAGTTTTTGCAATTGGGGTATGTTTTATAATATTCATGAAGCATTTGAGCATGCGTACTAGTGCTTAAACTATCATCTGCTATTTTTCTTTGTTATCTCAGGTCACCTCTAAACTATAAATTTATCCCTCTTTCAAGGCTAACAATCTACAGTGCATGCTCGGGTTGCGAACATGATCCGCAAATGCGCTGCTGCAGGTTGCGATTCAGTGCGTCTGCACATGTGCACATGCGCTTCTGCGAATGCGTGACCGCCGAAACCCGTTCCGGTACTTCCGGGTTTCGGCAGTCCGCAACCCGGAAAAAACGCAACCTGAAGCATCTGTAACCCGAGGTGTGAGTGCACTTCTAACACATTCTTTACTTAATTGTAACATTAGCCAGTAAAAGAGCCTCTTAGGGAGTCAAGCCTATGAGTCCAACATTTGCTTTGTCTCAGCAACTCAGGATGTAAGATATTGCAACTCAGGTTGTAAAACATGCTGATAAACAGTTCTGCAAAGGGGCCCTCCTTGGGGCTCCTTTGAACCTCTTTGTTCGCAGAATCGGTCTTAAGGCAGGCATGGTCATCCTCACCATACCTTCCCAAAGAATAAAACTCATTTTCATTCATTTATCCCACAAAAGGCTTTTTGCCTCTATCTCAGTGTTCTTTGATAGCTACTGGCTATGCCTAATAAGGGACACAGGTGGCACTGTGGGTTAAACCACAGAGCCTAGGGCTTGCTGATCAGAAGGTTGGCGGTTCGAATCCCCGCAATGGGGTGAGCTCTCGTTGCTTGGTCCCTGCTCCTGCCAGCCTAGCAGTTCGAAAGCATGAAGTGCAAGTAGATAAATAGGTACTGCTCCAGCGGGAAGGTAAACGACATTTCTGTGAGCTGCTCTGGTTCACCAGAAGTGGCTTAGTCATGCTGGCCACATGACCCGGAAGCTGTACGCCGGCTCCCTCAGCCAGTAAAGTGAGATGAGCGCCGCAACCCCAGAGTCATCCGCGACTGGACCTAACGGTCAGAGGTCCCTTTACCTTTACCTTATGCCTAATATTTCTGTTCATGGAACATTTCTTTGACTCCTATTATTTGTGACTTTATGCACATTTTACATGTTTGCTATTTATGAATTGTGAAACAATATAATGTTATAAATTTATTGCCAGTACATTATTAGCCACGTGTTGCTTGTGGATGTTCAGAATTTTTTGGGCCAAGGCTGACACCAATTTAAAGGGGAACTTGCTGCACGTGGCAGCCCAATCTGCCTCTTCAACAGAAAATTTACCAGTCTGTGTTTGTTTCAAAACACAGGCATCCATGCAAATAGCAAGCTCAGCAAGGCCTGGAGTGATCTGCCACAGAGACGTCAGCTGGGTCCAGCTAACATTACCTCGGGCTTCTTGGACCTCTGGCCCCTGCTCCTTTTTAAAATTTTGTTTTAGAAAATGTCTGGAGCGTCTTTCAAACCGTGCGTGCAAAACCCTGCAGTTTTCAGAGCTAATCCACCCAATGCAAAGTTGGGGACATCTGTTCTGGGTGCTGAACCTGCTGGGGGCATCTTGTGGCTCGTTGGCCAAAGTCAAGCCAGAGCCAAGCACCCTTCCAGCAAGCCAGTGAACCAGTTTGAGAGAAGGGAGACAGGAAGCAAGTATGAAAGAGAACTCGGCATCCTCTTTCACAGGAATCATAGAATCATAGATCGGTTTCTAGTTACTAGGGTCCCAGAGATTTGGCTGGAATAGAATCTGGGAACACTGGCACTGTGCCTTGCACTTTGCTGTTTCAGCTGTCAGGATGGCCCAGCGATCTCAGGCGCTGTGTTCAGAGTGCAGTCTCCCCTGGAAGTGTGGGTTTGAATCCCACTTCTGACAATAAATTTTTACCTGGACCACTGGATAGCTCAGTTGGTTAGCGCATGGTGCTGATAACACCAAGGTTGCAGGTTCGATCCCCAAATGGGACAGCTGCATATTCCTGCATCCTTTGGGTCCCTTCCAACTTTACAATTCTACGATTCTATGCCTGTTACAAACTGAATGGTTGCTGGACTGCCTGGCAGAATGAAGCCCTTCCTTCACTCTTTGCAAACACATTTGTTGTAACTCTTGTTTCAAAGTACACCATTTAAGATTTGGCCTTGATTATTGGAGCTTAAATGTATGAACCTACCAGTTAACCTATCAGTCTCTCTGCACTTCATATAGTTTCATCTTTGGAAGTAACGAAAGGTCACTTTGTGGTTCCTTATTAAACGAGTCTTGTTAACACAAACCCCTCCCCAAAAGCAGGCGTGTTGTGTTTAAAAACCTGACTTGCGGGTGCCCTTCCTTTCCCTCTAACCAATTTTAACAAAACAAACTCAAAATGTCACTTTAGACTATCAAGACGGAGACAATTACTTGGTGTTCTAAGGAAGGATTGATTTATTGCTGTCACGGAATATATGTGCGGGGGGTGGGTTTTGGTTATACTTTATTTTGATGGAATTTGATGAATTGGACTTAAAATGTCAACCCGCGACAAAAAAAAAAGAAGCATGATAAAATATAGTAAAGTAAGGAATGTCTCTTTCCCATATCTAGTTCCTGAAGCCAATGGACATGTAGGACTCGCTTAGGATGAGTGAAAAGCAATCAATGAAACAAGCAAGACATTGGCAAAGCCATCTCCCCAATGTTTCAATCACAAAACTTTCCACAAGGCGTCTGTTGGATGTCTTCCAATGATGTGCAGGGAAGGGTATGGGCAGATTCTGCGGGGGATGGAGATACCAGTGCTTTCCACAGTCCCCATTCTGCCAATCCATCACCGAGGCCAGTGGGGATAGCAGAGAAGTCCGAGGGAAACAGAAACGGGAGGAGGGAATTGCAGAGCTTTGCTTATTTGACTCATGTCCAGAACGGAAATCAATCCAACTAATAACAGTCAAGTGTTCCCTGTTGTTGTTTTCAGCCTACAAAGGATGCATAATTGATTGCATTCCCTCATCCATTTCCATTGTGTTTCCTTTGCGTTGAAACAAACAGAGCTGACTTTAACACAATGGCAACGTAATTTACCTAATTACATAAATTGCAAAAGGTACGTAAGCTATGTCATCTTGCCACAGTGGACAAAGAGGTGAATAACGTAATTTTGGGTGGAAGTCGAACCGCAGTAGAACGGAAACGTCACTGCATGTGACAAATAGAGGACGGAATGGAAAAGAGTGCTTTCTTACATTCCCATAGGCCTGTGTCTCTGGCAGAGCAATATTTTATTCTGCCTAATGTGAGGCACAAAGAATCAAACCAACCACCCGAATCTCCATAGTTCTGCCCTGGGTTCTCATTTTTTAGAATGTGATGATGTTGCCAGCCAGCTCTTTCTATCGATGTATGTAAAATATAGATATCAATGTGGCAGGGAAGATGTACGACACTACGACGGGCTACAGTTTAAAAGCCCACAAAACACACTTATGCGCTGTGTCTCTACAAGCCATAGATATATTGCAAAACAAATGAAAATGACTATTTCCAGACCAGACAGGGGTGGGCAAAATGAAGGAAATTTTGCTCAGGGAAATGTGAGTTTACAATTCAAAGGAAGGAACAACAAAGCAGTAAATCATCTACCTTGCTAAAGCCACACAAAAGAAATAAATATTGTCGGAACAGTTCCACAGCTTGCTAGCCAAGGCTTTCCCCTAAAGGAGTACAAGAAAGTAACGTCAGCCAGACACAGTAAATCTGAAGAATGCAACACAGTGTGAACTGAGGGGGAATAATGAAACAGAAACGGATCCCAGGCGATATGGTAAGCAGGCAGCTAGGGACTGCAGGGCAGAGATTTGGTTTGTTTTGGATTGTTAATGTGCACCTGACCTAACTCACAGAACTGAAGCACAGCTATCGGTTGAAATTCACACTTCTTTGAATATCTCTGTGCAGTTCTGCAACCCAAGAATGTGCCCATGAACATTTGATTGTCCGGAGAAACCATAGGAGCCAACTCCTAGGGACCAAGATCCCTTGCCCCCCCAAAAAAATATCTGAGGAGGCCAGTCTCCCATGGTGTTTGTGTGCCACATCTCATGATCGATTATGTGGAATGGGGCTTCCCTGGCCCCCTCCCCAGTATTTTATGGGGAGAAACTCTGCATAAATATCCATATATTACTGAAAGTCATATTCAGATATACAGGATATTGTGAGAAACTGCCTGCACAGATATTTATGTTCAGCAAAATTGCATGCAAAACTATGTATATTAAGGTAAATCCATACTGCAATGCAGGTAGATTTCCAAAAGGACCAACACTGATTCTTGCAAACTGATGTGAAGATTTGGAGATCCGCACCAAACATGGGGGAAATGAGAAATTAAAGGCAGATCCACAACATTTAAACCACAAAGCATCGCCTGAAGAATCCTGGAATCATCCACACACAGCAAGCTTAAGAAACAAGAGTTCCCAGGATTCCTTGGGGGAGTCATGTGATTTAAATGTATTGTTGTTTAGATGTTTAGTCGTGTCTGACTCTTCGTGACCCCATGGACCAGAGTATGCCAGGCACTCCTGTCTTCCACTGCCTCCCGCAGTTTGGTCAAACTCATGCTGGTAGCTTCGAGAACACTATCCAACCATCTCGTCCTCTGTCGTCCCCTTCTCCTTGTGCCCTCCATCTTTCCCAGCATCAGGGTCTTTTCCAGGGAGTCTTCTCTTCTCATGAGATGGCCAAAGTATTGGAGCCTCAGCTTCAGGATCTGTCCTTCCAGTGAGCACTCAGGGCTAATTTCCTAAAGAATGGATAGGTTTGATCTTCTTGCAGTCCATGGGACTCTCAAGAGTCTCCTCCAGCACCAGAATTCAAAAGCATCAATTCTTCGGCGATCAGCCTTCTTTATGGTCCAGCTCTCACTTCCGTACATCACTACTGGGAAAACCATAGCTTTAACTATATGGACCTTTGTTGGCAAAGTGATTTCTCTGCTTTTTAAGATCCACGTATTCTATGAAAAAGCTCCTGTGGAACAGCTGGTATAAATGGGGAGCTGTCTGAAGTCTCTGGCAAGGTGATGTCTCTGCTTTTAAATGTATGGTGTGGTGCTAACTGTCCAGGTAAGGATGCGTAGGATTGCAGCCCTGTTTTAAATTCTAGTCTGTGTTTCCATTCTTATGGGTATATGAAATGTATTTTTCACTCATGTAGTCCAAGGGGTCGAGCAATATGTGTGAGTAGGTTACTTGGGGGTGGGTAGATGCCCTCTCACTCCCCGCCCACCAAGTGCCACCCTTGTTTTCCAATCAGAGTAATTCTGAAGACCCTACTGACGGGCTGTTCTAACTCTTGAGTGCATCAGATCATGGCAAAGCAGCTTCAGCTCACTGTGTTGTCTTTTGTTTGGGAGTGTGGATGCTAAATTTGCATGCTATTAAAATTACATCATGGGCTCAGAGCTCTTGCAGTGCTGCTGCTTTAAACAGTGGCTGTCCTAAAGGCCACTGGAGGAGAAATACTAAAGCTTGTTTTATGTCCACCCCCCACCCCACCGTTCTTATTTCAAACGCTTGTACCAGGTTTCTGTTTACAGAGAGAGAATCGGGAAGAGGGGAGCAACAAGGAGGAGCCTGCTTATGTAACCTGACATGTTTATCTTGGACTTTTTAGCCCTCCTGGCAATTCCCTTTGGAATTCACGTTAATGGCCTGGGTTTGTTTCTGCTGAAATCACCGGCAGCAAATCCATGCCCAAAAGGAACAGCGCCAAACTGTTTAAACTCAAGAGACAGCCCCGCTTTTGCCTAATAGTTTCATCAAAGCCAATTAAGCAATTTCTCTTGAAGTCCTCCCCTTCTCAACTCTACCGGCCTTGAACCATAGTTGCAGCTTTGCTTTCTTCTTCTTCGGAGAATCACAAGTGAGCGTGGAGACTTAACGAAACAGCCTCTTTCTTCTTCTTTTACATTGGTCCTTAAATGCTGCTTCATAGATGCGTGCAAATGGCTTCAGTCTAGTGTCCAAGGGAAGTAATAGTACCGCTCTATTCTGCCCTGGCCAAACCACACTTGGAGCACTGTGTCCAGTTCTGTGCACCACAGTTTAAGAAGGGTATTGAAAGCTGGTAGGTGTATAGAGGAGAGCAACCAAGATGATAAAGGGTCTGGAAACCAAGCCATATGAGGAACGGTTGAAGGAGCTGGGTATGTTCATGCTGGAGAACAGAAGACTGAGAGATGATATGACAGCTAGCTCAGCTATTGGAAGGGCTGTCCTGTGGAAGATGGTGCAAGCTTGTTTTCTGCTGCTCCCAAGGGACCCAAACCAATGGATTTAAAATGGCAAGGATGGAGGTTCTGAATAAACATTGGGAAGAACTTTCAGACAGTATGAGCTGTTTGATAGTGGAATTCTCTCCCTCAGAAAATGGTGGACTCTCCTTCATTGGTGGATTTGAAACAAAGGTTGGGAAGCCATCTCTCAGGGATTCTCTAGCTGTGACTCCTACTGAGCTAGACAGATCAATGGTCTGACTTGGTATATTTCAGTGTAACAGTCATGCTGCTGCCAGGAAGAAAGATTTTACGTGGACCTGATAGTGAGGCTATGGATGAGTCTCTCTCCCACTCATCAGGCCAAATCCTCACTGCTTCCCAGGAGAAGTGAGAGGCAGAGCTTCCTTCGTCTCACAACCATCACATGCCCTCCAACATTTCTCCAATGAAAATAGGGATGTCAACAACAACAACAACAACCACCACAACAACAACAACTGTAGCACCCTGCTTTGGTTAACGCTTAGCTGGAATGAAATATTCAACGCAGCAATAGAGAAATTAAAATAATAATTTATTTGTCAGACAAATAAATGAGAGACACAGTGGTATA